ATCATTGGTTCATTTAGCATGTACTAGTGGTAGTATATTATTAGTGAAGGTATTAGAGGAGTATGGTATTAATACAAGTTCATTAGATTATGAGGGTCGGTCTGCAGTACATTATGCTGCTTTATCAGGTTCACCTACTCTACTCAGTTATACTGTATCTGAGTATAGGTTGAATGCCAGTCAGCCAGACTACAAAGGTGTAGTACCATTAGCATTAGCTTGTATGTCAGGTAGTATCAATGCAGTAGAATATATTATGAATACTACTGACATTGATATTAATATAACCTGTAATGAGGGTAGGACACCTCTTCATTATTCATGTCGTCATGGTAACATTGATCTAAGTCAATATCTCATTGAAGTACAAGACAGTGACATTAACATAACAGATAATAATAAATGGAATGCATTGACTCATAGTGCTGAGAGTGGTAACCTGAAGCTAGTCCAATACCTCATTAATAATCATCAATTGCCTCTCACATCAATTGCATTAATTGAAGCAGTACGTAGTACTAAACTATCATTAATTAAATTATTAGTTAATGAATATAAACTAGATCCTCAAATTAAAACTAGTGACGGTTTGCAAGCAGTTCATTATGCAGCTACAGTTGGTGCTATTGATGTCTTAGAGTATTTAGTAAAAGATTGTGGATGTGATTTGGATAGAGTAGGTGGAAAATACATCAGTAACGTGTTTCATTTTTCTACATCAAGTGGTCATTTTTTATTTATTAAATATATTATTAATAATTATCCACAATATACTAGTCTATTACATTCTACTAATGATAATGATACCCTACCAATTCATACTGCCTGTGCTAGTGGTGTAATACAACTAGTGACATTTCTAATTGATGTAATGAAATGTGATGTCACTACTGAAGATAAGGATGGCTATGATTGTGTCACACAAGTATGTTCCTCTGGTAATCTTGATCTTTTAAAATTATTAATAAAACAATACAACCTTAATCCTAGAATATTCAGCAGAGCATCATCACCAGAAGTTGCAGTGATATTTGGACATGTTCATATACTAGAATGGCTCAGACAAGAGTATCATATCAATGTAGCCTCATTTAAGAATGGTGTATTACCTTTTTATGCTGCACAATACAACCGTTTGTATTGTTTAAAGCATTTATTAAACAATTATTCATTTGATATTAGTGATATATATGCCACTCTTGATGATACTCAATCTACACTCCTTCACATAGCATGTCAGGAAGGACATTTTGCTATAGTTCTCTACCTCACTAGTCTTCCTCAGTGTGACATATCAGCTAAAACTTCAAATGGATCAACAGTTCTTCATTTATCATGTAAAAGTCGTTCTCTTCCTATACTCAAACATCTAGTGGAGGAGCATCAGTTGGATCTCACTATTAAAGATTACAATGGAATGGCTCCAGTTCATGTAGCCTGTGAAGAAGGATCATTGAGTATAGTCAAGTACATTATAGACCATTCACCATTATCTCTTGATATGACCGACTCTTTTGGACGTACTCCACTACTTATTGCAGCTTTCTCTAAGAACCTTCCCATCATTCGTTACCTCAACAGTAAAAACTGCAACATTTCTATACTGGACGATAAAGGGTTTAACGTAATACACATATCAGCAAAGGGAGGGTCTTTGGATATATTGAGGTTTTTCGTTGATGGTCGTTACTGTAATCCTGATATCACTGATACTTCTGGTCGTACTCCACTTTATCTGTCAGCTCAAGAGGGTCACTTGGAAATAGTAGAATATCTATTGAATAGTCCAAGCTACAATAAACCAC